CTGTGCAGCATGAAACAGAAAATTGAACAGGGCTGTGAAGGGAAACCCCATGGCAACATTTATGGGCACTATGGGCACAATTCACTCCAGATTATCGCAAGAGTTAAGGCAGTCACATGACCACATCTTGCATGCAATACTGAAAATGTCAATTCACTTTTGCTACTATGCGGGATTTCCCATAAATCGGAAAAACACTCATGAAATCAAACATAAAAAGACCTTACACCCCGGTCACATCAAAGCCGATTTGGAAATGTAACAACTGATCTTTCCTGTTAATATTGTAACTGGTATATGAGTGCTAGCAGGGTTGAAGGTTTTGTGCAGTGCACAGTGTGCCGCATGTATGCAGCAATGGAGCAATAGCTCCAGGATGAATACTGCTGCGACAGATGTGAGCTGCTTGCTCTTCTGGAATCTCGTGTTAGAGATATGGAGGAGCAAGTTGCAACACTGGGCAGAACTATCAACCTTGAAAGGGGTCTTCTGCTCTCTGAGCAGGTAGCTAATGGGATTGATGTGGAGGGCGGTGGGGCTAATCAGGATTAGGTAGGAAGATTGGTTACTGTAACGAGAGGGAGTGGTAGGGGCTCACAGAAATGGAAGGCTGGCCCTGGGTTTGAGCACCCAAACAGATTTGCCAAGTTGGGTGAAGATGTGGGGGTGGCAAGCTCAGGGGTGGCAGCCCTGGATGTTATTGCCATCCCTAACAGCCGGGAGGGCAGACCATCTGGGAGGGCTGGTGAGGGTAGTGCAGGAAGGTCTAGACAGCTGGTGGTAGTAGGGGATTCTGTGATCAGAAGGACTAATAGAATAATTTATCGCCAGGTTCGCCTCAACCGAATGGTTTGCTGTCTCCCTGGTGCCAGGGTTCGGCATGTGGTGGACCGGGTTGATAAATTACTGGGAAGGGCTGGGCATGACCCAGCTGTCTTGGTTCATGTTGGAACCAATGACAGAATACATGGAAGGTGGAGGCTCCTTAACCACTTCCTGTCCGGACACTTTTACCCCCTTCCTGTCCAGGGCACTTTTCAGCTGTCAGTGCTATCACACTTTGACAATTGCGCGGTCATGGAACACTGTACCCATATGAATTTTTTACTATTTTTTTGAGACAGATAAAGCTTTATTTTGGTGGTATTTATTCACCGCTGGGATTTTTATTCTTTTTTGCTATGTAAATGAAAATGTCCACAAATTTTGAAAAAAAAGTGTTTTTTCTTAATGTGTTAGTGTTAGTGTTTTCATAATATTTTGCAAATAAATAATATTTCATCATAAATCTTGGCCAAAATTTATTTTGTTATCTTTTTAGTAAAAAAAAAAAATAAGCCAAATTAGTTTATAACCAAAAATTATAATTTTTAAAAAAATTTTTTTACATTTTTATTTTATTTTTTTATATTATTATTTATGTTTTTTTTTTTTTTACATACTGTCACCCTAGCAGTACAGTATCACCATGGTGACACTGTGCTACTTGTGGGGGGTGATGAAGATTTTTTTTTTTTTTTTTACACTGCTTTTACACCCATATAGGATGTAAAAGCAATAATTTCTCTTTTTCTCTGGCTGCATTCTTGCAGCCATTGAGAACTACTGAGTGAGCTGTGATTGGTCACAGCTTGTCACATGGTACAAGGCTGTTGTGAATAGCCTTGTACCATGTGACCTCTGTGATCATTCACAGATTTCACACGTAGTAAGCAATGATGTCACAAGTGACATCTTGCTTACTGCTTTGCATGTGATCACTGATTGGCCAATCAGTGATCACATGATCTGGACCTCATACAGAGGTTCCGTCTGACGATCGGTGTTTCACTGTGTCCGGAGGACACAGCGGGCACTGGATCGCGGTGCTGCGCGCTCCCGGGGAGAGCGCACAAGCAGGGTGCGGGGAGGCCGTTTATAAACGGCCACCAGACCCTGCACTGCCAGGAGGGAGGTTAAGAATCAATTTAAAGAACTAGGCTGCAAGTTGAAGGGAAGGATCTCCAAGGTGATATTCTCTGAAGTATTACCTGTGCTATGCGCAACTCAGGAAACACAGGGGGAGATTAGAGAACTCAATGTATGGCTGAACCCCTGGTGTAAGAGGGAAGGATTTGGGTTTCTAGAGCACAGGGCTGACTTTTCATTGGGGTGCAACCTATATGCTAGAGATGGTCTGCACCTAAATGGAAGGGGGTCTGCTGTGCTGGGGAAGAAATTTATAGGAAGGCTGGAGGAGTATTTAAACTAGGATTGAGGGGGGAGGGAGAATTAGATTATAATGGGGTAGACAGATCAGACAGGGTTCAGTACTTATTCGTGGGTGTAATGGGGAAAGATGGGGGGAAGGCTATGGCAGATGATAAGAAGGTTCCCATGTTACAAACAACCAGTGGAATTGGTATCATTTGTATGAAAATAAAAAATATGCAAAATACGTGTGAACAAGATGTCAATCAATTAAATTGTTTGTTCACGAATGCCAGAAGTCTGCTAAGCAAAATAGGTGAGTTGGAAGCTTTGTTGAAGAGCACTATAATTTAATTGGTATTGCTGAATCTTGGCTTCATTCTTCGCATGACTGGGCCATTAATATTTTAATATTTTATGTAAATGGATAGAAAACTAAAAGATCGTATTCAAAGAGTAGTAGTTAATGATTCATACTCTGAATGGTCTAGGGTCATCAGTGGTGTACCCCAGGGTTCAGTGTTGGGACCCTTACTTTTTAATATATTTATAAACGATACAGGGTCTGAGATTAGAAATCCCATTTCAGTCTTTGCAGATGACACCAAGCTGTGCAGTGGAATAACATCCTTACAGGATGTCTTCCACTTACAAGCAAACCTCAATGCACTGTTTAATTGGGCAACTATGAGATTTAATGTTGATAAATGTAAGGTTATGCACTTGGGGGCTAAGAATATGCATGCATCATACATACTAGGGGGAGTACAACTGGGAGAATCAATGGTGCAGAAGGATCTGGGAGTTCTAGTAGATCACAGGCTTAATAATGGCATGCAATGCCAAGCTGCGGTTTCTAAAGCGAGCAAAATTCTCTCTTGTATTAAAAGAGGTATAGACTCCAGAGAGAGAGATATCATATTACCCCTGTACAAATCATTAGCAAAACTTCATCTGGAATATGCAGTTAGTTTTGGGCACCAATGTACAAAAGGAACATTGGGGAACTGGAGAAAGTACAGAGAAGGGCAACTAAACTGATACTAGGCATGGAGGATCTCAGCTATGAGGAAAGATTAGAGGAACTGAATTTATTCTCTCTTGAGAAGAGGAGATTAAGGGGGGATATGATCAACATGTATAAATACATCAGTGGTTCCTATAGTGAACTCGGTGTTAAGCTATTCACCCTGAGGTCATCACAGAGGACAAGGGGGCACTGTTTACGTCTTGAGGAAAAGAAATTTAATCTCCAAACACGGAAAGGTTTCTTCACAGTGAGAGCTGTGAAAATGTGGAATAGACTCCCTCAAGAGTTGGTTCTGGCCAGCTCAGTGGATTGCTTCAAAAAAGGCCTGGATTGTTTCTTGGATACACAGAATATAACTGGATACTAACATTTACAGGTGAAGTTGATCCAGGGAATATCTGATTGCCTCTTGGGGGATCAGGAACAAATTTTTTTTCCCAGCAGGAGCAAATTGGATCATGCTTTGCTGGGGGTTTTTTTTGCCTTCCTCTGGATCAACTGTGGGTATAGGATTATAACTTTTTTTTTTTCTATGGTTGAACTGGATGGACGTTTGCCTTTTTTCAGCCAGACTAACTATGTAACTATGTAACTTACAGTGAAGTTGCCAATTTCCTTGTGATTTGCAAGACATCTGACACAGATGTCTATACATCTGTGTGAATGAGTATGGGGTACATGGTACCGCTACTCATTCACCAAAAATAAAATGTGTAGTGTAAAAAAAGACAGGGCAAAAAAAATCTAAAAGAATGTCCCCCAAAAGAGATCCAATGTCAATCACGATGTAAGCCGCCGGCGACCCGAAAAAAGATAGGGGGAGCGGGATCTGGGGGCCCCTTGTTAAAGGGGGCTTCCAGATTCCGATAAGTCCCCCGCCCACAGAGGCCCTTGTCCCCTTTAACATGGGACAAGGTGCCTTGGCGGGGAGTCCCCCCTACCCCAAAGCACCCCCCCATGTTGAGGGCATGTGGCCTGGTATGGTTCAGGAGGGGGGGCTCGCTTGTCCCCCCCCCTTTCCTGACCTGTCGGGCTGCATGCTCGGATAAGGGTCCGGTATGGATTTAGGGGGGACCCCACACAATTTTTAATTTTTTTTTGTAATTGCCGACCTTTATTTTTAGATTCAGCTGTCAAAATATATATCTAGATCTTCGAAGTATGTAAAAGCATTACAGAAATAAAATATAAAGAATAAGAAACAAAAATACTGTAGAATCAATAGAACTAAGGAAATCAAATTAGAATACATAAAGATATGCCTAGCTACAAATAGTGCTGTTTGTTAAACACAGTAGTCTAATCGTGTCGATCGATTGCTGTCTTGCAGAGGACTCCACACAGAGATTTACTATTAAACAGCATCTAAAAAGAAAGCGCCCATGGCAGACGGCTAGATTGTGTTCTGCGCATGTGCATTTATACCTATGCTTAGACGCTGGAAAAGCATCTAGTTCTTGACTGTCATGATTTCCTTTTTAAAAACTATTTTTTACCCATTTAAAAAAATTTTTTGAAATGAAAGATATTGTTTAACTACCTGCCGACCGCAGATAGCCGAATGACGGCTGCACTGCGGCCGGCCAGTTCTGGGTGGACGTCATATGACGTCCTCCCAGAACGCGCTCTCCTACGCGCCCCCCGGGGGCGCACACCCAGCGATCTTCGTGATCGCTGTGTCCTACGGACACAGCTGATCACGTGACGTGGTAAAAGGCCAATCACAGCAGCCTTTTACCACGTGATCAGCCGTGTCCAATGACACGCTGATCACCGGGAAATGCAAATGCCGGTTCTCGGCTGCACTTTCCTCACGCTGTCAGAGCGTGAGGAAAGTGCTGCCAAAAACCGGCAGTTGTCAGAGCGGGGATCGGCACCAATCATCAGGGTGACTGATCATCAGTGCCCTGATGATCGGTGCCCAGCAGTGCTACACACAAATTCCGCCCACCTGTGCCCAGCAGTGCACCCACCTGTGCCACCCAGCAGTGCACCCACTTGTGCCCAGCAATGCACCCACCTGTGCCCAGCAGTGTGCCCACCTGTGCCCAGCAGTGCGCCCACCTGTGCCACCCAGCAGTGTCACCACCTGTGCCCAGAAGTGCCACCTACCTGTGCCCAGTAGTGCTACCCACCTGTGCCCACCAGTGCCACCCACCTGTGCCCACCAGAGCCACCCATCAGTGCAGCCCAGCAGTGCTGCCAGTCAGTGCCACCAGTCAGTGCCCAGCGGTTGTGCCAGTCAGTGCGCAGCAGTGCTGCCAGTCAGTGCCCAGCAGTGATGTCAGTCAGTGCCACCTCAGTGCTGTCCATCAGTACCCATTATCAGTGTCGCCTATCAGTGCCACCAATCAGTGCTGCATATCAGTGCCACCTATCCGTGACACCTCATTAGTGCTGCCTATCAGTGCAGCCTATCCGTGCCACCTCATTAGTGCTGCCTATCGGTGCCGCCTATCAGTGCCACCCATCAGTGCCGCCTATCAGTGCCCATCAGTGCTGCCTCATCAACGCACATCAGTGAAGGAGAAAAATCACCTGTTTGAAAAATTTTATAATAGAAACAAAGAAACTTTTTTTTTTTTTTCAAATTTTTTTGCACTTTTTTTGCTTATAGCACAAAAAGTAAAGTGCCCAGCAGCGATTAAATACCACCAAAAGAAAGCTCTATTTGTGAGAAAAAAATGATAAAAATTTCATATGGGTACAATCTTGCATGATCGCGCAATTGTCAATCAAAGTGCAACAGCGCTGAAAGCTGAAAATTGGCCTGGTAAATAAGGGGGTATAAGTGCCCGGTAGGCAAGTGGTTAAAGTGAAGTCCCGATATTTGTGAAAGCAAATTTCAATGTGAACATGTTTCTACAGTGATTTTTCATTGTGTTAGACGTGCTTCTAGCATGCCTGCTTTCTTAGACAGATTCCTGTATTGTGCCTAGTTAGTAAATTTGCTCTCGCGTCTACTTGTTAGACATTTTCTTTAGTAAATGTCTTTGCCGTCTAAAAGTAGACGGACTCTAATGAATCCTCTGCACCATAAAACATGAATCTTCTGCACCATAAACAGCCCAACGGTATCTCACTTAGGCCCGGACACTACCAGCCTCACAGTGCTCGGAGCCTCTGGTGCTTTCGCTGCCACACCTTCAACTTAGACTCTCCCACAACAAGCCACAAGGACAAGCTGGGAAGAAGTACCACTCTTGTTAACTTTCAGCAGTGCTTTACCAAATAGCAGCATGGGGTGCACCCAAAGGAAACACTCCAAGGCTGAATAGAGCTGGTGCCTTCAGAAGCCTAATAGCCCAGACACATGATCTGAGCCAAAAGGCCGGGAAGCAAAGTTTTCAAAGGAAGTCAATTTTTTATCTTACTTCCAGACTACCTTTCACAGGTTTGGAGGCCCTAAAATGCAAGGACAGTTCAGGCACAATCCAAATGATTCTTTTTCTCTGAAGCAGACACCCCAAGGTATTTGTTGAGAGACATGTTGAATCAATGGAAGATTTAATTTTTTGACAGAAGGTTTTGAAAATTGAAAAAAGGAAAGATTTTTCCTTTCTTTTTACATAACATTTTGTCATTTTATTGAGAGATTTCTCATGCATGCCATGGTTATATATGGAAATGCACCCCTAAAACTATTCTGCTCCTTCTCTTGAGCATGGGGTACCAAATGTTGGAGACTTTTTTCTGATTCATGACGTATACAAGAGCCCAGAACCCATGAACTGCATCAATTTCTCAAAGGGTGTCATTTTCTCATTTCACAGGTTTGGAGGTCCAAAAATGCAAGGACAGTTCAGTCACACCCCAAACTACTCATTTTCTTTGAAGCAGAAACCCCATGGTGTTTGCTGAGAGCCATGTTGAATGAATTAAAGATTTAATTTTTTGACACAAGGTTTTGGAAAATAAAAAATGAAAGATTTTTCCTGTTTTTTTTACTCAATGTCATGATTTCTCACGCATGCCATGGTTATATGTGGAAATGCACCCCTAAACACATTCAGCTCTTTCTCCTGAGCATGGGGGCACCATATGTTGAGACTTTTTTCTAATGCTAGACACATACAAGAGCCCATAACCCCTGAACTGCATAGAATTTTCAAAGGGCGTTATTTTCTCATTTCACTATCTAACTCCGTTTCAAAGGTTTGGAGGTCCAAAAGTGCAATGACAGTTAAGGCACACCCCCAAACAACTCTGTTTCTTTGAAGCAGACACCCCAGGGTATTTGCTGAGAGGCATTTTGAGTCAACGGAAGATTTAATTTTTGGACACATGGTTTTGGAAATTGATAAAAACAAAGATTTTTCCTTTTTGTACACAACAGTCACTTTATTGAGAGATTTCTCATGCATGCCATGGGTAAATGTGGAATTACACCCTAAAACACATTCTGCTCCTTCTCCTGAGCATGAGGTGTAATGCATATATTGGGCCTATAATAATTTTTACCTTCATTAACATTATTGTGAACTTTTGATAGGTATCTAATTCTCAGTTCTTAAGAAATTCCAGTATCTGGACATTTTGAGAACTGCTGTAATAAAAGGACATTATAAGCCAGCCTTTTTATTCTCTAGCCACCTGGTGTAATCTAACTTTCATGTTAAATAGCACTAAAGGGGTATGAGATAAATAAATCTTTGGGGGCATTTGTTATCATTTGGTATTAACCTCTTTTGGTAATAGCTGTATGAGGATTGGCTAGATTCATACATTGACAAAAGGTTGTAATCACTTATTATATTTATCATCAAGTGGTTAAGGGAGGTGGCAAAACCGCCAAAACAAATGGTGCCCCTTGGTGAGAAAGTCTAAATGTTTGGGTGAATGTTACTAGTGTGGAATACACAGCATTAATTACATCTCTCTTCGTTTTCATGTCTGTCTTCCATGTCTGACTGAAATACCTAGACTAGTAAGCTATGTCGAACGTCATTTTTAGCTTTTGTCTTTGCTAATATTTTAGTTAGACTGATTATGAACAGTACAAATGAAATAAAATTGTACTGCCAGTGAATGAAGTGAATGTGAAAACATCCTAACTGCTCAGTAGCACCTATTGCAGCAGGGTGTAAGTGTGAACGAAAAGAGCTCTGAGTAGACTCTTGAAGGCAGTGAAAAAAGAAAACGTAGGATCTGTGCCTTTCTGCCAAAAAGCAGTTCCAGTTGACCCTTGATTGAGATTAGGTCAAGACCAAGGGCGGACTGACAACTCATGGGGCCCCTGGGCAATAGGGGATCATGGGGCCCCTGTGTCCTCGTCCAAACCCAAAAAAGCCTATGAAAAAGCCAATGAGAGGTACCAGGGGCATCTCATGGGGCCCCCTACTGAGCCTGGGTCCTCGAGCAGTGCCCGAGTGCTCAAATGGTCAGTCCGCCCCTGGTCAAGACACTTCCCAATCCTTGTGATTGAAATACACCTGTGGGCCTAAATCACACAGAATGATCTTGTGTATGAATCTGTATTCTTTGTAATCTACTAACTGGGGATTGTAAACTTTTAGTTAGACCTGTGAACAATAGCTACATTGTAACTGCTACAAACCATACTGCAAATAGTTTTGCCTCAATTAACTGCCTGCTGTACTCCAAGCACTCAAATATTTTATTATTCAAATTTGCTCTAATCCTTTTTTAAAAAAAAACAAAAACCTTTCTGAAAAGTCCACAGGGGTGATTGAACTATTGATGAGTTCAGGAAATCTCCAGGCTGTTTTGAAGGACTATAGTCAGAACAGGGAAAAATTAAAGTATTGTTCTAACAAGTAGTAAAAAGCAGCAACGGTGACAGGAGTGGTACCTGTCAAAGCAATCACTGGACTGTCAAGGTCCTACCTTTTCCCTGAGGTTATGTTACTCCATGTGCTGGCGTCCATCTTGGATTCTGCTGTGCATGGTGGGAATCCTTTTATGCCTTCAGGTCTCTGTGGTCCATCCCCCAGAGGGGTGTGGCTGATGACATATAAGCCTGTGGCCCGCACATGCTCTTTGCACTTGTGTCTTGTGTCTTTGTGTTGCTATTACTCTGTTCTGACTCTCGTGACTCTCCTGGTATCTGATTCGGCTTGTGACTCGACTATTCTTTGTATTCTCCTTTGATCTGACCCTCTGTTGCTGAACCCGGCTCGTGACCTGTGATTCTTGTCTGCTGTCCTGTACAGTTTTGTCCTGCTGTTGTTGACCCGGCTTATCTGACTACTCTTTTGTCTCTTCCACCAGCTACACGCCATTGGCCACCAGCTGAGGTGTCTCGGGGGCTGCGACCTGGTTCCTGGCTGCGTCAAGTCCATCCCCACCATCAGGGGCCCTGGTGAAGGGCAGCCTGGGACTTATACTCCGCACCCTGAGGGACTTTGGTCTGTGGGTGGTGGTTGTCGTCAGCCAGTGCGTTACATTGTTAGGCCTGCCTGTCCGTTCCTCGGCCCCTGCCCTGACATGGACAGAGATTAGCTACCTCTGGGGGCAACTGCTTAAGGTTGGGAAATTTTTACAGTATCCACCAACTGACTCCGAGGGAAGAGATGATATGTAAATATGCCCTGGGTTGTAAAATATTTACAGTCAGGTCCATAAATATTGGGACATGGACACAATTCTAACATTTTTGGCTCTATATACTACCACAATGGATTTGAAATGAAACAAACAAGATGTGCTTTAACTGCAGACTGTCAGCTTTAATTTGAGGGTATTTACATCCAAATCAGGTGAACGGTGTAGGAATTACAACAGTTTGCATATGTGCCTCCCACTTGTTAAGGGACCAAAAGTAATGGGACAGAATAATAATCATAAATCAAACTTTCACTTTTTAATACTTGGTTGCAAATCCTTTGCAGTCAAGTACAGCCTGAAGTCTGGAACGCATAGACATCACCAGATGCTGGGTTTCATCCCTGGTGATGCTGTGCCAGGCCTCTACTGCAACTGTCTTCAGTTCCTGCTTGTTCTTGGGGCATTTTCCCTTCAGTTTTGTCTTCAGCAAGCGAAATGCATGCTCAATCGGATTCAGGTCAGGTGATTGACTTGGCCATTTCATTACATTCCACTTCTTTCCCTTAAAAAACTCTTTGGTTGCTTTTGTAGTACGCTTTGGGTCATTGTCCATCTGCACTGTGAAGCGGCGTCCAATGAGTTCTGAAGCATTTGGCTGAAT